TGGCAGACTGTTACTAAAAATGATCTGCATAGTCAATCAGCCCTCATTAGAATTTCAACAGCATCGTTCATAAAAAACTGTTCTAAGATGCTAAAATCAATAAGAAACACAAAAGGCTTCAAATAGTCGAGCCAATCCCAAGAAGAAAGGACAGAGATAAGTGTACTGAAGACTTTAATATAGAACTTAAGACTTTGAAATTATTAAAGGAAAACACTTCGCTATAAAGGCACAGGCAAGGACTTTCTAAAAAGGACTCTGATATCACAGGAAATCCTAAGAATTGACTGACTAGCTTACATGAAATAAAAACAAACTTCTGCACACCAAAGGAAACAGCAGCAGAATGAAAAGAAAATCTGTATCAGCTGATGAAGACTAAGATTAGAGTCTATAAAGGTCTTTAAAAAATCATACACACACACACACACACACACACACACACACACACACACACACTTACACACACACTCCATCCCACCAATAACAGGCTACCAATTCAGATAGTTATCAACAGAAGACATACACATGGGCAGTAAACATTTTAAATAATGTTCAAAATCTTCAGCCCTTAGGGAAATGCAAAAATGCAAATGAAAACGACAGATGCCATTTCCTGTCAGAATGGAGATCACTGAGAAAACAAAAGATTAAAAAAAATGCAAGTGGAAATGACACGGGAGAAGGAGGAACCTTGTACACAATGGTGCAGCCAATGTGGAAATCAGCATGGAGGTTCCCTCAGATACTTAAAAACCTGCCAAGCAACCCAGTTATCCCCTCTTGAGCACATACCAGAAGGAATCCAGAGCAGCACACAACAGAAGAAACTGCACATTTACTGCTGCATTCTTCTCAACAGCCAAGACATGGAGCCGACAGCTGAGTGGCTAAAGCAAAGGTAGGTCACATACAGAGAGGTCTCATTCAGCCATGAAGAATGAGTTATGCCACCTGAAGGAAAGTGATCAAAGCTAGACACGATAGTAAGTGAAGTAAGGAGGGGGAAGTCTAGTAAAGTAAGAGAGCGTGTGCATGCATAAGACATGAAGGCAGGAGGACTTATGGGAGAGGAACTGGACTTGCAAGAGGGTGGGCTGGTGGAGCTATGGGGAGGCCATGTGAGCAAAGTACAATGCCACATGTATATGAGGAAATGTCACAGAGCTATTACTTTGTGCACTTGAAGATTATTGAAGTACTTTAAAGGATACATATAAAGCACTCATTTAACTTCAGATTAAACTGAATAGACATCTATTGAGATGGGGTAGCGGGGACATTCCTGCCATACCCATTTATTTCCTTTGGATGCAGAGGGAGCACCATGACTCTTTCAAATATTAAATTTGCACTTGGCAGCATTTCTGCACATTCCTTCTCATTTGCGAATGTTTTTCTTTTCCAGCTTTTATTTTGTAATCTACCATTTTTTTTATTATAGCCCAAATAAAGGAAATAAATTATAAAATGTCATTGGCCTGGCCCTCTTTAATCCCTGTTTTCAAACCAATCATCCCAGGAAATGGGGATGACATACTTACACTAATACCAATTTTTCTTTGATGTGTCCAATGTCAAGTTTCATCCATTGACATTGTGGTTTGACCAATTTACAAATGCTTACGGAAGATCAAACAGCCTAGAAATACTGACTCTAATGGCAGCTTCACAGTGCTTATAGAAGGTCCCCTATGGGGAGCCTCCCTACCTCCTATGCTTGTGGCCCAGTATTAACTGACTTGTTCTAAACTTTGAAATGAGTTCTGCACACAGATCCATTATAGATCAATACCAGTATGAACTGCATATATGGGGTGATGGCCCATATTGAAACCTGGACTTGCTAGTACTTGGTGCTGGGTGCTAGAGAAACGATGAACATCTCCTTGGAATGGCCTTTTGTGAGAAATTTCCATCTATTAGGATTAAAATACTTTTCATATAGAAAATAATCTGGGCTCATATTCTTCTGGCAAAGATTACCACAAGTCCTTAAAACTGGGAGATGGTTATACTTGTGCCTGCTGTGGTATGGAAGTTTGCTTTTGACTATTTAACTCTTGACTTCAAGGTAGAAAAGTATGAGTGAAGTGAAGCACCCCCAGACATCTCCAGCAAAGGCCACTGGGTATGACAGAAACGTCACCACAGTCGTTCAAAGCCAACAGTGGCATGGACTTATATCAGAGTTTGCACAATTTAGGTAGAAAACTTTTAAGAGAATTTTTTTTTTCTTTTCGGACTTCTTATATGGAGTTTAGTTTCTTTCAAAAGTTTGTAAGTTTATTAGTTAGTAAAATGGCCAGAACATCTGGTTATTTACAGAAAATTCAAATGTCCAATAAACAGTAGCAGAGATATATCATTTCATTAGTATCAGAGAGATGCAGATGAGGGCAATATAAACCTTCAACTTTTGGATTGCTAAATATTATGTTGAAGTTATCTTTTCTTCATGTCTTAACCAACTTCAAAAAAAAGGTTTAGCATGCGTGTAAGTATAAATGCCAGTGTGTCAGAGTATGCCCATCTGTGTGTGGATGGGCCAGCAGGGTACTGGATCCTTGGAACTTCAGTTTGAAGTATGGATATGGTGACCATTTAAGATGGAAACAATGTGAAACCATTTTCTGTTAAACACTTCAATGTTTTGGCAAAACTGCTTTTGGCTATAGTTGAAATTTTTAACATCATATGGAAACATACCAGATCTTAAATTATAAAACAGCATACTAATCTGAGCATACTGAAAACACTCAAGTATTTTAAAGATGCTGGCAAAGCAGTCATAATTGACATTGCATTCTCTTGTTATTGACAGGTGGCTTGTGTTATATTTCTATGTGTCAGTGCTACGGTCAATGAAATCTAACGTTCCAGGCATGACACCTCATCCTAAAATGTCTGAACTGGGAACTGTCAAAGGGAACAACTGAGTAGAGGAACCCTCCAGAGGTTGACAGCTCATTACTATTAGGTAATGAATTTGTTAGAAAAATTGTTGAATGGAACTCATTTTTTTCCCCCTCACTCGGCCAATGTTTACCTCAAGCTCAGTTCTCCCTGGAGCATGAGAGCAAAGAGATTACCAATACTTTTAAAACAGTATGGTCCTTCTTTCCAGTTTTACGTGGCATCAAGAACAGGGCTGCTGATTTGGACCAAAGATAGTAGCAGTGTTACCACTGCCTCAGGGAAGCTGCCTGATTAGATCTTTCTCACCTTAAATCTCCCTCGAGAGGCCACAGGGCCAATGGGCCTAGTAGGAAATCACTCTTGTGAAGTGAAGCCAAACAGGAGGACTGTGTGGGTTCAAATCAGGGTTTGCATTTCTGGCAAGGTGTCTAATACCCTGGTAGAATTCCATGCCTGTACTGTGGGCAACACCACTCTTACATCAGTAGCCCGTGTAAGACTGCCCTTTGAAGCCATCCTGTTTAATATTCAAAATGAGAGAGCAGTGTAGATCTTAAAAGTTGCTTTATTTAAACAAAACTGATGCCAACTTTTCTATCTATATACAAACATGGTTCAGAACCAGAGCGGCAGACACACAAACTGTTCACACGGGAACTGTAATGCTTGACATGTTAAGACAAAGGTTTGTTTTCTGCTCAAAAAGACATTCACAGATTCAAAAGTCATTCTGAAGGCTGAGCAACACCATACCTTCATCTTCCAGGTGGCTTATGTAAATTCTAAAGAATGGGGGATGGAACTTTGGAGGGTTTAGTTTAATTCAGCTGTGGTGGGGGCTCACAAAATGTTTTGGGCTGGAGATAAAATTTTGAATAAAATATAATCTACTGAGAGGACACTTAAGAAACAGAGGCTTACTTTTTTTTTTTTACTCTATTTGCCTATATCATAAATATAAAAAGATCCTTTCATTTTTGGTCCCCCAAAGTAAGAAAAACTAGCTTAAAAAATAAGTTTAAAATAATTTTATAAGTACTATCAACAAAATGTAGTGACTAGAGGTCCTTCAAAGTCAAGGTAAGACTACAGAAGGAAGTATCACATTTCGGTTCTTCTTCCCCCAACCCATTAGAAATGGAGTCCTTCCACACACTTACCTACATGATAAACTTAAGTCTAAAACTCTGTTGGAGAAGTCAGTCACTTTTGCCTTTCCCAGGCTGAGGCTTCCAGGAGCCCTTTGAGTTCCTCAACAAGGACTGTAGTTATGAAAATCCCCCAAAGTCTCGCTACATATTCTGCTCACTAACTCCAGCGCCACACAGGTACTGGGTATTTTAGATAATACTTGAAAACAGCGGCTGTTGCAGCAGAGTGTAAGTATTCTGTTGACACTGATCTGTGGCAGCTCTTGGTCTAGTCATTGGGGGTTGGGGAGCTGTGCAGCAGTGAGGTAGAGGAGTGGATCCCACAGCCCCTCCTGCCACAGCACATGAGATTCAAGTCTGAGCTGGAGGGTTAGCAGTCTGCACCACAGATCAGCCTCAGAATGCTTTGCATCACACAGCCACCGAGCACCAAGCATGACTAAATGCCACGATACAATGACCCACAGGGGCTGTCTACTCCCGTTTGCTCATGGGAATCAGGTCCCACCATTTACTGTGCTTTCATTTTCTAAAAATGAGATGAAACCATTGTAGAAATGTTCTTTCAAAATAAATTATTTCTAGAATATAAAAAGCTTTATATTTCCCCAGCTCATGTATCATTATAAAATAGGAAATCAGAAAATTAGCTGTTGCAATTTGCATATGGTAAAAAATATTTATATGTGTACACATATATACACATATATAAAAATGCAACTTTTAAATGAAAATTATCAATTAACAAAATGATCAGGTACTGAATTGTACCTAAGAAAAGCCAAGTATGTATAATGAAACGAGCTTAAAAGGAGTATCCCAACCGTGAGAGGATAAACTAAGACTTGCCACAGGAAAAGGCAAAGTCAAGAAGTCCGATTACTCAGAGATTAGAAGTCACTGGTACCATTTTCAGCTCTAACCACCCCTCTCCCTGTCCCCCTCACAGCATCCATCACTAAGTCCCTAAGGATGCATACTCTCAAGGTCACTGGCTGGTGACTGGGCCACCTATGCTTACCACGGTTAGCGCCCTTTGTCTGAGATGCTCTTGCCCAGGAAGCCCTACCCATGTAGGAGACAAACTTTCTCCTAATGTGCAAAGGTGCCTTGGAGATCGGTGGGTCTTACTCTTGGTGGAGAGGAAGTCCTCCCAGGAAATCTAAGCAAGAGAGAGGAGCATCTGCGGCTAAACCAGAACAGCCTGTTTCTATCACTGAAAACAGGGGTAGTGTTCCTAAAGACTCCACAGATAATTGGGGTTCTCTTCCCATGTTGTTGACCCCTGCAGCTGCTAGTGTTCATGAGGAAAAATGCTCACGGAGACTAGGATCTTCCCCAGGAGGGCCAGCTCAGGAACGGGCAAAAGGAGAAGAGATCTGGCCTGCGGAGCGGCCCTATGATCCTATGCTCAAGAGCGTGCTGGCATCCCCTGAGGCTTTGCATTGGGTTCCCAGGTGAAAAGCCAGCCACAGCAGACCTGCTTTCAAGTCCACCTGGAATGGCACCACTGGGGCTAATCTGTCTCTAATGAATCTGCTCCTTCGCAGTTTAAAATGGCCATTTATGTTTGGTGGAGTATTAGATGCAAAGAACAGACTTAATTTTATCTATTTTTTCCTTCTTTACCTAAAACAAAAACAAAAAACCAATTACGTATTCCCTACCCAACTATTATCCATCAAGATATCTTAAAAGCAAGCAAAAGCTAAACACTGAAAATCTGTCTTTTCTTCTCCTAACAACTGTTGTTGATACATGCCCATGAAAGCAAGGCTCACGGCTCTGCAGAGCGTAGCTCGTACTCACAGTGGGAGGGGTCAAGCACAGCACTCTAACCAGATTTAAGATGACCCACCAAGTAGAAAAATGTAATTTCTATTATGGAGCAAATATTCTGGAAGAGTCAAAGCAAAATCAAAGTGGATGTGTGCACCAAGACAGGCTTAACCTTTCAGCAGCGTTTATCCAAAAAGTGTGTCAATTATAAACCTGCCCCTTTAAATGGATTATGAAAGATGTGTCTACTCAAAAATAAGAACTAAGCAAGAAAGGCCTCAGATCTCACTGAAAACCTGTGGAGAATACTACATCCTTTCAATCAAAACCAGTAGAATTTCAGGGCCTCCCACCTTTTCCTGGTCCAGCCACAGAGCTCAAGTAAGGACAGGGCTCTTGCCCTTCCTATGGTGACTCTAAGGAATAAGAAACTCCCTTTCTTCTACTGCATCAAAGGTCTAGGGTGTGACCCTAAGCCATGAAAACTACAAGAAAATCCAATTTCAAAGACCAAGTTTCACTCATTTGCCCTTTGAAGAAAGGACATCCCAGTCTCTGGTGGCCTCTATCAAATGCCGCTGGCCGTGACTCATCCACTCTTCCTGGTCTTCGTAGAGCCGCCCACAGAACCAGCACTTAAAGACACACTGGGCAGGGTCGTCCGGCAATGAGCCCACCACCTGGTAGTTGTTTTTATGAACCTTCTTCAGTTTCATTTTCAACATCATCTGCCTCTTCATGTGGTTAGCTTCTGCCACACTCTGGTAGGTCAGCCGCATATGGTACCGCCGGACACCCAGCTGACACCGAGTCCTCTCAGACAGGACAACCTTAAGGACGTTGCCTTTGTACTTGTTGATTACCTTCATCACATTGGTCACTTCAGGGGAGTCGACATCAGGATGGTTTAACACAATGACAGGCTGGTTCCGACGGGGACATTTAATCAACTGATCTGGTTTGGCAGCTATGAGTCGCAGCTGCCTTGCCACCTGAAAAAAGGAGGGGTCTTTGAAATAGCGGCTGGGATTGGCCTGCATCTTGTTTTTCTTCTTGGCTGAGCTCACTTGCTTGGTTTTATTCTTGCTTACAGTGAGGTTTCTAGAAATTGGCCTTCCCTGCCTGCTGGAGTCACTGCTTCCTGGTGCTGTGCTATACACAGGGATGATTTTCTTAGGAGTGGCACTGTAGATAGGGTCCTCTTTTCTTGATTTGGGACGGAGAGATGTCTCCAGACTTGGGGACATGTCTGCTGGTCCACTCCTGCATGTAAAAGGCTGGGAGCCTGAGACTGTCTGTTTCATAGGGCAGAACGGAAGTGTTCCTGCTAACTGGGCTTCACGGCAAGGTATGCTGACAGGTGTGTCGCAGGTGGCCTCTATGATGTGAGCATCTTCAGAAGAGTTAAGGACCCTCAACACAGCCCCTTTGGGGATCAGCACTGGAGTAGCAACAGGAGTCTTTCTGATCACTCTGCTTTCCATTTTCCCGTCATTTGCACTGACAAACTGGGGACAGATTTGCTGCGGAGCAAGCTGTCCGCTGACAGTAATACTGTCCTCATTCGGAAGGTTTTGGAGAGGACCCACAGAAGGGCCAGGGGTAGGGCCAGGACTAGAGCCAGGGCCAGTAAGGGACACACTCATTTCTTGAATAGCCTTGGGGGCTGCTTTTGAAGTTAGCTTGGGTGACTGCCCTATGGAACGTCGCTGAGCACTATTGGCAGACAAAGAGGAAGGCTTGCCACAAGATTCAATTAACTGCGCTATCTTTCTGCGCAGCAGTTCAATGGACTTTATTTTGGTTGTTGAACTATTCCACTTAATGCCCTCTGGCACATTTTCAGATCCAGAGCTCAGCGAAAATACTGACGAGATGATCGGGCCTTCAAAGGTATGACCTGCTGTTTCAGAAGTCTTGGGCTGCACAGGCTGATCTCCAGGCTGTTGGGACCTTGGTTTATCTTCGCCAGTAATGTTTATGTGTAAATACTCTTTTTTCTGCACAGAGGAAACCTGGCCTGTATTTCCCACTGCCTTGCTTTCCATCTGCATGTCTTCCAGCTTCCTGTCAGAGGAAACCACTGTTTCAGGATGGCTAATCCTATTCCTGGCTTCTAAGTCATTTTCACCTATAGGCAGTAAGCCCTTCCCTCCAGAGAAGGGAATCTTTGAAGGCAACGAGGCAAGCGGAAGGAGCTGCTGGGAGTCACTGCGGGAACCTCTTCTGTCTTCAGCAAAAGCAACAGCTGCTTTACTCAAGAAATGACTCACTGTGGTTCCAGGACCACAGGAAACATTATTTTGGACAGAGGCTGGTGAATGACTTTTTACAGCCACAGAAGGAAGGGCTCTAGGTGGACATAAACTGTGAGATTTCTGTAAATCTTTAATTGTATCAGAACCAAGGAAAGATTCTTGATGACTCTGTACACCAGGATTGGGCATGAAAAAATTGCAAGACTTCACCCATTTCACATTTTTAAGCTGTTTCTGAACCAAAGAGTGTAGACGGTCAAGGCCCACAAAGTCTCCAGCATTCCCTTCCACTGCTAGTGACCTTGATGCTTCTGTAGAAAGCATTTTTTTCTGTCCCCCTGAGCCCTTCTCAGTGGTCATACACTCAGAAGTGCCTCCATCTCCTCTGCTTGTTTCGAGGCGGGAGTTTTCTTCCAACGGAAATAGTTTAAGCACAAGCTGCTGAGTGCCGTTGACAACCTTCACATCCATCAACTGGGCTAGACAGTTGGTGGGGACCACCAGCTCGGAGGGTGCCACAACCGTCAGTGGCATACCTGGCTGCACAGTTTCCTTTGAGGGGGACAGCACTTCCACCTCAACATTCTTGTTCCCCAACAGGCTCACCTCCCTTGGCTCAGACAGGGTCACTTTGTTAGGAATACACACTACATCTTTCTGGTACTTCTTTAGCTCCGGTAATAACATCATGTTGTGTGACTTGTCTTTGTTTGCATGGAGAGAGAACCGAGATAGCTGGTCTGACAACTTGTTTTGGAAGGCAGCCCTGGGATTGGGGGCCTTTGAGAGTTCTATGCTCTGCTTTGAAATGTTAGTTCTCTTGGGTTCCAGCTTGGCTACAGTTTTGAATGGCCGTTTGGCACCAGCCCGCTCATGGACCCTCCTCCTGTGCTTGACAATGTAGTCGTTTCGAATAGCACCATAGTCGCAGTACTCACATCGGTAAGGAAAGATGCCCGTGTGCTTCACCAGATGCCTCTGAAACTCCCCTTTCGTGTAGGAGATGTAGCTGCAGTGGGAACAGATGAACTTGATCTCCTCATGCTGCAGAGTGTGCTTTCTGTACTGCAGCGGGTCCTTTGTAGAGAACCGACATTTATCACAGTAGTATTTGCCTGGTTTGAAGTTCCTAACCTTAAATTTATTTACAGGACTTGAGATAGTTTCCGTTTCATTTCTGACATGAGCAGCACCAGCATTATTGTTCACAAAATGCAGCTGGGTAGGCACTGCTCGAAGGCTGCACTTAAAGCAAACATAAGTGTCTTGGCTCTGCCCAGGGCCCTTCCTCAAGTCTTGAGTAGGGATCTTGTGAACACTTTTGCACTGTACACAAGTAGCAATGGTCATTGTGGCAGCCTCTGCCTCTGAACCTTGGTACAATAGGGTTTGCGCTTCCTGTCTCTCCGGCCGAGTTGCTCTATTAGGTTGTTTGGGGGACATGGTCAAGGAACTGGGTCCCCCATTCACTTGTGTGGTATACAGTTGTTCTCCAATATCCTTCATCTCCCTTATCTGCATATGCACATAGCAAACTGAAACCAGAAAGCTGTCACTCAATGAAATCTTCTGCAGGCATCCTTCCACACCCAGTGACTGGTGGAGCAGCAGGCACTTCTTGGTGAATACTTAATAATCAATCACGTTTTGGGTCCTTTCACAGGAATATGTGAGCCACAATATGACTGCTTTCAATTCTGTTTCCAGGCAACACTACAGGAAAAATAAAACCATAAGGCATGATTAGTACAGAGGCTCAAGGGTTAGCTAAGCTACCACCACTTCCACTGTGTCGTTATGGCTCGGTGGACACAGACTCCCACAGACACTAAACTACTTCGCCACAGCACTACAAACACAACCATGCTGGCAAGCCTAAACTAAAACCATTCTGTAGCTCAGGTGCTTAGGAATCTCTAGACCAACCATGAGCCTGAGATGCCAGGAGGAAGGACATTAACAGTAGCTCAGGATCATCTTGACAAGGGAATGCTTTGTTTAACTGAGGTGAGTACATTCTAGCAACTTCATAGGTAGCTTCATATAAGCCTTGAAAAACATCATAAGGACATGCCAACTCAGTTTTCATGTGTGAGTTACCAAGTAGTGGAGACAGCGCTTTCAGCTGGCCATTCGCATGTGCACCTGCGTTATGCCAACTCTCACTCACACACCCACAACACTGACTCAAGCATAGTGATTTCTTTATCATCTTCAGGGGCCTCCACTAAGTGCTAGGCGCTGTCTGTGAGCTGGAGGGCAGTGATCAAGAGATGGCTTAACAGGTAAATACACTTGGTAGCAACACAGTCAGTCTGGTAGGAGAGAACCCGTTCCTGAAAGCCATTCCTTGATGGCCACACATGTTCTGGGGCATGGGTACACATGCAATGAATTTAAAAATGCTTAAAAATGGGCAAACCACTGTCTTCCCCTTATGAAGCCTACATCTGGGAGAGTGGTTCATTTGTTTAGTTGTAAAAATGGCAGTTTTAAAAAAAACAAAAAAAAGCAAAACTGGTAAAGAAATATCAAAAAGATAAAGAGGATAGGAAGAGCTCATGTAAGGAGGCTGTGGGGCTGGGTGGAGGGAGGACATCTAGACCTGTGGTAGCCAGGGACTGAGTTCTATGCGGGTCCAGAAAAAAGGATGTGTCAAGCAGAGAGAAGGCAAGATCTGTAGGGAGTGGACCTGGGGCACTTGGAGAATCAGTTGAGGTGGGAGCTGTAGAATGGTGAGAATGGGACACAGGACAATATATATGTGACATATGTGACAGAGAGCTGAGAGAGAGACTGGATCAACAGAATGATGTATGCTTTGATTTATACTCCAATGGCAGCATCCAGCTCATCTGGGAGGACTAGAGTGTATATTGGTTGGTTATGAGGCCTTGGATTAGAACAGGTGAAGGAAATGTGTATCTTCCAGAACGAAGAAGCTCTTCCCTTCTCATGCACGTTGCACAGTGGTTGAGAGTATATAAAGTACAGACATTTTTTCTCAGAGCCCAACAACACTTCTTGCCTGGAGTTTACTAAGCTGGTCTTTCTTGATCTTAATCAAACAAACAGAACTGGCATCATATGAACAATTTTCCCCATGTTTTCATCTAGCAATGATGACCAAGGACATTTCATGCAGCCACAGAGCTGCAAGGATGATTGTCTCCACAGGGCAGGAAGCAAACAGACACTCAAGGGTTTGGTGATGGTCAGGAAAGGGAGGAAGAACCGGCAGCTCCTTCTGGCACACAATGGTCAAGCCAAGAGCTACACAATGCCAGTCTGAAAGGTCAGCTCAGGGCAGGCAAAGTCCTTTCTGCTGCACATTCAGATGTGGTATAAAACCCTTTAAAGGCAGCTTTGAAAAACACCGGAGACCCTACACGTAAGGATAAGCTGTAACTTCACCTGCAGCTCTGTGACTTCCTGTCCAGCTCTGGTGAATGATGGTTACCTTCACCCAAAGCAACTACCAGCATGTAGCCAAGCCCCAACACCAGATGCAGCATCAAGGAGACAAAGGCCTTGGGGGTGGCTAGTACTGTCTGACCCCTCCAAGTTCAAGCTTATATGTATGCCAAAGGACCATGATTTGTACAGGACACATGAATGCTCCTAACTGGCAGCAGAGACTAGCCTTTCTACTCCACTGTACCCTGGTGTGGACAGAAAGAGGCCTTTCAGGGATATCAGTAGGGGAAGCAGACATACTGTTTGCTTTCTAGATCTTTAAACCGGCACATGTGAAAGGAGACAGGGTGACCCCTAGAACTCTTGCAACACACAAAGTGACCTCAAGCAATGACCTATGTGCATATGTTAGCTCTTCTATACAACAAAAGCCTGGATTAGGTTTCTAAGCCTGAGGCTGTTAGTCTCTGAAATAAGACTTTATAATTTAAGAACACGAGTATCTTCAACATGTTCTCCCCAGAAATTTCATGCAGATGCCATCCAGTGCAAGTAGGGCCTGGACAACCACAGGGCCATAGAATCAGAGGCTAAAGTCAGGGCACAGGGCTCATGCCAATGGTCCTGGAGCTTGGAGGAACCTAAGAGCCATGCAAATACAGACATTCCAGGGCAGAGGGGGCTGTTAACACAGCATTAGTTAAGGTATCAGGTAACCCTGACAAAAGCCTGCAGGCAGTTGAAATTGCTAGCTTCCAGACCCATTCAAGTCCTTTCAACACCCCCATCTTTGGCTACTCTAAGTGCCCCCAATTCTTCCCTCTTCAGGCACCATTTTGTTTTCATTGTCAACAATTCACCCCCAAATAAAAATGAAGCTGCTCCCCCGTAACTCCCCGTCCACTCTGTCTTGCAGGTAGACAAAGGACTCAGTCTTGATGGGCCCAGCTAGTAACCTGTTGCCAGGCAGTTCTTGGTTCTCAGTTCTGTCTCAAAGATCTGCACCCAATCACTATGGCAACGGCTACTCTCATCCACCAGCTTCATCACCTCCTATCATGGGTAGCAGTGGTGCTGGTGGTGTACTAATTTAAGCACTTGGCCTGCACAGCGTGCTTACTGATGCAATGCGGCACCTCATTACATGAACATTAACTATAGTTATCAAAGAACCCCACCTGCGAAATTCCCTTCAGATTTTCACACCTTCACAGCCTCTAAGATTCAAGAAGGAAAACTTTTACCATGCTCTTGCCAGGTCCCTTCACATCCTGGAGGCTCTCAATCCTTTTAAATGTTTAAATGGATTTAGCCAGCAGGGTCATGACCATCAGTAAGAAGCAGAGGGCATCCTGAAGCAGTGTCCCTAGATAATAAGGCCAGCTCCGAGTGGCCAAGGAACAACAGGGTCCTGTGATATCGTCTCTGCAAAACCATCTAAGCAGTTACAAATGCTTCCTAACTTCCAAGGGGGTTACAACCCACTGGAACCTGAGACTATCCTAAGTGAAATACAAATTCAACACACTTGCCTACAGCACAGCACAACGTAGCATAGCCCAACTAAGAATGCTTACATTAGCTAGCACACAGCTAGACAGTTCACATAAAATAACTAAGTCATTTCATATTTGAATACAGTTCATGGTGCAGTATTGATGGCTCACACTTGTGACAGCAAGGCTGACCATGAGCTCCAGGTCACAGCTGCCACCCGATATCACGAGAATGCTGTGCTGCATATAGCCAGCTTGATGAAAGGTCAAGAAACAAACCCAGAAGTATGATTCCTGCTGAATGCACCTCACATGTACACTGTCATGAAGTCAGAATCCTAGGGGCAATAATTGTTAAGTTGGAGACAACTTGTATTTTAAATGAAGAATCTTTGAGAACAGGTCTGAATGTGAGATTCGAGACTGATCAGACTGATCAGACTGATCATCGTTGCAGAGAGAAGCCAGACGTCTAGGCTGTAAACCATTTCAGTAGACTATCCTCAGTACAACATCGCTGCTTCTCACTCATGATGGAAAAGAGGGGGGTTTCTTTGAAGTCCCAGCTGACCTTTGCAACTTGTGTGGCTAGGTGCAGGAGAGCACACAGCTCCAATGGGAAAGGTAAGCAGAAGCAGCAGCATGGGAGAAGGGCAGTGGGTGAGATGGACATGAGAACACGTCTCAGATACAGTCCACCTGAATGAGAGGATCGTCCCTTGCACACAAGTCCTCTGTTTGATTCACACATAGCTGCCTGTAAAGCTAAATCCTTCTGGCAAGTTACTATCAATGGACTGAGGGCCAAGGATGACATAATACGCTGCTGACAGAGGGCTGTACATGGATGCACTTAATGCCAAAGACACCCAAGATATCAGTGGCAGAGTTCACCAACCTACAAAGTCACAGCTTCTAGGGCAAGACGCCATTTTTTTTTTCTTTCAGATAACTCAGAAGGGCTCAGTACTGTTAACTTAATGGCCCAGAAGGAGATCCATTTAACACTGTCTGTTTTCCATAATCAATGACTTAGCAGCATATAAAGAGCTTTTTAATAACAGAATTATCTGTAGCAAAAGCCAAAGACAGCTGTCATGCACCACCACATAGGAATAGTTCTGTGTGCTACACCCTCACTCTTGGCACTGAGGAAGGAGTGGAAGTGTACCTGCATGCACTATGGGCAAGCTTTTTTGTTTTGTGTTGTGTTTTTAATTTTTTAAATTTTGAGCTCATTTACATACTTATTGCAGGAAAACAAAGGGAAAACTTAGCTTGAAGATCCAGTTTACTGATGCTAAAAGCTAGTCAAGAACATGAAAGTTTGTATTCACCATTAAGAAGGAAGCATCTGACTTCCTAATGCTTATTAGTGTTCAATAGGTCAGAAAGGGCCAAGCATGTAAGACCAACTCTCACATTATCTATCATTCTAGAAACAATACAGGATTTTAAATGGCAGTGCCAACACTTGCTGGTGTGTGACCTGGGGCACACTGCTTGCTCCTTGGCCTAGAGCACAGGGTTGGCGGTAAGGGCAACCACCATATTGCCAGTGAAAGTTATCAGGAAAGCAGTTGGTTCACCAGGTCTTCTTAGATGTTACTTTACATTTTTAATGAAGAAAATATGCCAAGCATAGGTTTCTCTGCTGCGTGGTTATGGTTCTTTCCAGAACACGGTTGAGTCTCCCTTTACATTTAGACATTATTTTCTTTGATTGCATAGTCAAGACTGACCACACAGAAACAATTTGCCAGCTTTAGCGGTACCCGGGCAGTCGTCACCTTGGGAGAAAAGACACTGCTGGACTCACACTACCCTGGGCTTTACGTGTCAGCTACTCAACCAGGCTGTCTTTCCCACCCTCTTTTATGGAAGTGCAGTCACACCATGCAACAGGCCTGTAGCCAGTGTCCCCTCTACATGGCAACGAAGGAGGAACGTGGCTGGACACTGTATCACACCCACAACTGAACATGACAGATGACTGGCTCTATCTTTTTTGACTAGGAAGCAAAATCAAATAGCTTTTTGTAGGCATTCTGGTCCAAGACTTCTCCCTTTGCTGTGACTCTGCCTATATCCATTACGTGGGGGCAGGGATTTTGCTTCTGAACCCAAGAAGAACAAAGCAATCTGCTGGAAGCTTAACTCTTCAGCCCTTATTGGCTGGGTCCTTTGGCAAGTCATCTCTCTTCATTGCCAGGCAAGGGACAGTGTGCCTGACACTCACAAGCTGTGTCTACGTATTCCTTCTGTTTATGACGTATCTCCCCTGACCCTTCAGTGAACCCTTTTAACACTATTTGAGCCTATAATGGCTAATGGCCTGTAGCTAAGGCTGGACGGGGAAGATGCCAGTATTAGACTTACAAACAGCATATCATCTTCCGGACCTTTAAATAAAACAACCGCCTGGGCAAGTGCTTCCGTGACTACAAATCAGAACTGAGCAGACGGGAAAGCAGGCCTAAATAGGTAGTGTCAGTCATTCAGTGGACTCTTCACGCCAAACCACCTTGCACTTGGGAATGATTAAGGATGATTGTCACTTTGATGACAAGAAGCATGTCCAAATGCCACTGACAGAACACACTGCCCCCATGGTCTCACTGTCTTCTGAAAGCAGGTGTATTGTGGGGGCAACAGAACAGAGGGTGTGACAATCTGACTGTCTGCTCTTTCAGGGAATGCAGTTTAAGAGTGCGGAGCACAGGACCTTGGGAAACCATAGACAAGAGTCAAAGGGCAGGTAGGCTTTTGGCTTGCTAGCTATTTGGCTGTGTGATTTTAGACATTTAACCTAACTTAGCCTGAGTTTCTGTGGTAGTAAAAAAGGATAATTTATCACGTGGCTGATGTGAAGATGAATGAAAAAAATCTAAATGCAAGTAGCTAGTAACAGAGAGCCTGTCTTGTCAGGAATTGCTGACATTTTGGTAAGACTTCCTTAAGTGTAAGGGTCCACTAAAGCTCTACTGAAAAGCATACACTGAAAGCTCTACACACAGATGACTTTCTCAGAGGCTTGGAGCTCCCGGGGGTGACAGAGAAAGTGGCTTTGCAGAGAACATGTGAACTCTACAGCAGAAAAAAAAAAGAAAGGGATTTATGTTATGGGCCACTTCTCCCAACAGTTTATGAGAAAAGAAAGAGTAAGACTAAGGCTGGATCCTTCAAGTTCAAGGCTTGTAATTTAAATGTAATGTGAAAAATAAGATCATTAATGAGCAAACATACTTATGAGCATTAGATAGGACACATGAGTGTATGTGTGTGTGCGCGTGCGTGCACACACACGCACACACACACACACCACCAAGGGTATTACAAACAGTGGGTACAAATGTCAGATTTGAAACATTCAAAGGGCTCCAAGGTCTCTGAAGATATTTAGTGTAATCACTTTTTTGTATTTCCCTCATTCCCTTTTTGGCCTCAAAGAAAACCCTCAAAATTTATAGAATAGATAGTTCAATAAAAGAGAAGCAATTTTTCCTTCTACAGGGGGTGGGGGAATCACTGGCCTTGACTGTATTAAGGGAAATGTGGTCTGGATAGCTCACAATGTTTAAAGTAAGTTATTTACAGCCTTTGAAAATGCTGCCGCCTGTGTCCCATTTCTCCCAGACTGGGGTTTAACTGAGGTGGTGGCAGGGCACAATCCATACAGAAGTCTACAAGGCTTCAAAAATGATTCTGTATGTGACTCGGGTTGGGGACCACCTGAATTACAGGCTCAGGAAAGTGTGAGGATGGCAAGAAAACCTGTCACTCTGTAGACCTCACACAGGAAGCAGGGCTAAGCCATTGCCTTTAGACTAGTGAGGCGCCTAAACATGTAAGAGTCCAGGCCTTGCTGCTGCCCAGCAGCACTAACTGGGGAATACCAAGGTCTGTGAGAGGTATATATAAATCTCAGCAATCCAAATGTCCCCGCTCTCCCGCCACAGTGTCTGGCATGGCTAAGTACAAAAAGCACAGATGAGAACTGTGCTAGTCCACCCCTGTATGGGTTGCTGTCCCTAAGGAGTCTGAGTGGAGCCAGAAGTAAATGGGCAAATTCAGTATGGATCCTGTTATCAGGAAGCTGACCAGAGTGCTCTCAATTGTTGGCCAATTGCTTGGCCTTAGTCATGAAGGATGCCTGTAGGAGCAGGCTAATATGGTCCTAGACACGCTTTGAAATAAAACTTCAATTACCTGCTTCTTTTAAAACGAAGGGCCTGGAGATGGTATGTGGCTTTTCTAGGTCACACTGAGGTGGAAAGTGGTGGCAGGCAGTGTCCAGTTTAAACTCCGTCTTGTGAGCTGAGGTCACAGCCAGGATTCCTGGCCTCTTGGGCACTACTCCTCCAGGCCCAGAAGTCAAGAATGTGGCAAGTCTCTGTGGCTCTTCCTTTTCTTTCAGGCCTTATTAGTCACTGAGGACCCCAAGTCTCAGGACTTCAGGCCGTGGTGTAGACATCTATGCTCAGAAGCCAGGGTTGTGTCAACAGGCCTGCAACAGAGTCAGACACTTGGGTGTAAGTCTGGGATCTGTAAGATGTGATCTCTTGGATACACTTATTGTAGAAAAGACAAAACAAATCAACCTTCAAAACGCTTCTCAATGGCAGCCAGTCTAAGCTTAAGAAGGAGGGGTTCCTAGGAACCTAAATGAACTGGTTGGCTCCCTTGCTAGAGTGGGACACATGAGTGACTCAGAATCCTTCCCAGGCTATCCTGTGCTGCCCACTCCCACCTCTGAAGAGACAGTCTGGATTAGTCTCCAGCCACTTTTCTGCAGGCCGCTGGGTTTTCGGGGGAGCAACAGCATGCAGTGGAGATCAAAGGCAGTTTAGGAACAATCAAGGCTGGGAAAATCCTCACTGGAAAGGACCCCACTTACCACTGTAACAGCAGACTTGGCTCTGAAAGGCCCGCCATCATCACATTGACTCAGAGGATACCGGAGTGGGTGAAGAAAATGGAAGACTTCACAATGACAATTATTAACCTGTTCTTTGTTCTGCCTCTTGCACAAACACTGTCCCAGACCCTCTTACTTAAAGGCAGATAGACAAGAAAGAAAATATAGCTTTCTTTAAGTGGACTTAAAATTAATGAGTGACATCTGAGAGGAAGCCAGCAGAGAAGACAAAGCTCTCCTTTGCTCTTCAATAGCCACCAGCATAACAGGGCCGGATGCATCAAATGCCCCTGTCAGGGCTAACACAACAGATCCAAGATAAAGCGGTAAAACATATTTTAAATAAATGCATGCCTTCGATAAGGATCATGCCTGCAATTTAAAAAGCAGAATATGGCACTTCAAGAATATAAATATTTCTGGGCTCCCAGAACCCTTGGCAAGGGCATGCTCTCCTGGATAGTCCTGGACTGGGCTTAACTTTGTATGTGTGACTTAGAGGGACTGAGACACTTTGCCAAGCTAGCTGGCTGCTCTTCTGTAGCAAGTGTTGCAAGCGCAGGGAATTCTCTTTAAAGGTGATTTTGACTCTAAACTTAAGGTGTAATGTTTTAAGACCTCAAACACAACATTGAGTTTGGGTTGGTAGGCTGTTTTCCAATAGGACAACGTGCTTGATGGTTCACTTTTTAAAAAATGACAAATGTTGTTGGTATCCTATTTTTTGATAGAAGTAATTTAAAGAGGTAGGTCAAATACCCAACAAACGTTAAGAGGAGTTTGATTATTTCCGATCTTTTGGTTTTCCCTTTTCGGGTCATAAACTTTGCAATGGTTCTTTCTCTTCTTCTGCATCCTTTCTCTAGCCTTAAGCCTTAATCTGCACCCAATTCCTCAACTCCAGGCAACAAGATCAAACTGAAAGGCTGCGATGGAGCTGTCCCGCAAAAGGTGACATCAAGACTCATCCCACCCAGAATCAGGTCTTCTGTGGACAGACCCACCCCGACACCCGCTCCAAAGACAATGCCAGCGTGGTCCTCAAGTTTATTGTTGGCGCGCTCACAGGGATGCACGCTCTCCCGGGCGAGGCCAGGGCGCCTTCTGGCGCTGAGCGAGGTGCGAGTGCGAGAGCCGCACCGTCGCGTCCCCTCAGGGCCGGCGGGTCACAGATGGGGTGTCTTCCAAACGCTGAAAGCCAAAGCCGCGTCAAGCCGGCCTGGGAGGCCGAGAGGCTTTAAAAATGGCCTCTTGACGACACTTCCTGCTCGGGGCCGAGGCATCATTTAAAAAGCCGGCTCAGCCGCCCGGCGCGATGAGTCGCGGGGCTGAGCCGGCGCTGCACAAAGGCCGCAGGGTGGGCCGTGGGTCTCCGACCCGATCCGCCTAGCCCGGAGGCGCGCACGCGGAACCATGGAGCCACACCCGGCCGCACCCGCCCAGGTCCCTACCGCCCCGCACCACCACTCACCCGGACGCCGCGGCACCCCACGGTCCCAGATCCCAGCGGACGGACAGGTACCTAGACCGCCGGCTACCGCCCGCAGACCGCCGCCGCCGCGCCCGCTGTAGGTCCCTACCCGGGGGGGCGGAGTCGGGCCGCCGGCGCGCGTGCGCAATACGGCGCGACTGCAGCGGAGAGGCGGGAGCCTGAGGTTGCCCCTTCACTGCCCCTGGGCTGTGGGCTCTGAGCTTGGGTCGTTCGCACCTACTGGGTGCAGTGTCTGCATCACTCTGTCCTGCACGCTCCGCAGCCTCCTCGGCAAAGAACTGAGTGTGCTTCTCTTTGGGTTCAACGGAATATCCATGTGCGCCTGGCCTTCATTGGGTCCTGCTGAGGGTGGATTTGATGCTTGCCCTCAAGGAGCTTGAAGTTCTGCAACAAGTAAGTGAAGTGACAACAAAGGGGCTCAAGTCTTCAGCCATCGCAGCTTCTTGGGGCGCCCTAGTGAAGGAGATGCGCCTGCAGCCCTAGGTTTGGATACAGCTAGCTGCTGGGCCTTGTGCATGGAAGCTTCGACTCAGTAAGGAAGATCACATTTGAAGTCTAAGGCCTTATCTCGTGCACATTGTGACAGTCAGCAGGGAAAAGATTGATGGAAAGACAGTCAGAAGATGCTATGAGCTCATTTAATGCAGGAGTTGGTGTCTACCTCTTAAGTTTGAATGTCTGCAGGTACATGACCCCCTTTCACATTAGGTCCATACCTACAGTCTACTGGATAAAAGACAGCCCTAAACTAACCCCAAGGGAAGAAGGGAATCATATGGCCAGTGGGCCCACCATAAGTGACTTGGATGCTGCTTCCCACACAAATAAAACTGCCCTTCAGCAAGGACAGATGGTGGCAGGGAGCAGCGTCACTGTGAAGTGCAGAGCCTTCATTGACAAGAGGCAGACGTTTCCTTCAAAGCTCTGCAAAGAAGCCAAGACTGGAGAAGGATTCTAGTTCCTTCCTCTGTGTGGCAACGATCAGGTCCTAGATATCAGTTATATGCTGGGAGGAGATGTTGGGCTTTGGCAAAATCCAACCTGGATGAGTCAAGTTTGGAAAGAACAGGTAGTCACAACGCCAGTCAGCTGCTGGGCAAGCCCCCAGCTCCTGAAGGAGCAGGTACTGAACATAGAAAGTCTGGGCAGAGAGTCTTTACCTTGTTCTGTGAGATAATGCCTTTGACCACACTCTGATAACTATCTACCTGTCTTAGTTAGGGTTTTACTGCTGTGAACAGACACCATGACCAAGGCAACTCTTATAAGGACAATATTTAATTGGGGCTAACAGGTTCAGAGGTTCAGTCCATTATCATCAAGGCGGGAGCATGACAGCATCCAGGCAGGCATGGTACAGAAGGAGCTGAGAGTTCTACATCTTCATCTGAAGGCTGCTAGCAGAATACCGACTTCCAGGCAGTTAGGGTGGGTAGTCTTAAGCCCATGCCCACAGTGACACTCCTACTCCAAAAAAGGCCATTCCTTCAAATAATGCCACTCCCTGGGCCAAGCATATTCAAACCATGACACTACCTACTCCTGTTTTCTCTTTCTCCTGCTAAGTAAACTAAAGGACTCACTCTCAGGAAACAAAAACAAATAGGTCTCCCTCTAGCATAGGCTAAAGATAAGTAGAACATTGGGAGTATGTCTCGGTCATGCCAAGAACCTCTAGTGACACAAGGAACCCACTCAGGAAAGTCAGTTATACATTAGAGAATCAGAAGTCTCAGAGCTAGAGAGTTTTTAGCTCAAAGTGTTTGTTTTCTTTCCATCCCCACCCATACATCACAGTCCCACCTTCTTCAGTCACAGAATTGACAGAAGGTTGCTTTTGGATTGTCTGAAAGGTTCTGTGGAGATAGAGATACTATGGGCCTGCTCTCTAGCCTACCGGAACCCTGGTTCCTCATGCAAAATTCAGTCAATATTAGGACCTCCTTCACAGGTCTGTGATCAACAAGATAGTCTAGGCCAGTGGTTCTCAAACTGTGCGTAATGACCCCTTTGGGGGTTCCATATCAGATTTTTACATCATGATTCATAACAGAAGTAGCAAAATTACAGTTATGAAGTAGTCGCAAAATAATTTTATGGTTAGGGTCACCACAACATGAGGAATGATATTAAAGGGTCAGAGCATTAGGAAGGTTGAGAACCACTGGTCACAGTCCCTGGCTGTTGAGAAGAGACTGATAACTCCCACAATTCTCAGAATCCCCAGTTTGGTGAGGTAAAGTGGTTTGCAAAGAAGGGATATTTGCAGCCTGGGAAAGGGCCAGGCAGGGATATAGACTAGAATTCATGAAACCACAAAGGTTGAAGTGTTGATCCTCCAGGGTCTTTTGATGGCAAGCAGGAAAGAGTCAGAAATTCTAAACTGTACACTTCTGATGCTGCCATTCACAGCCTGTTCCCCACCCTCTAAAATACTTCGCCCAAGGTCTTTTTTGTTCAAGATCTCTTCTAATGTAGACTGAATTATGCTCTACAGAAAGATGCAGAAGCCCTCTATCATGGTTCCTGTGAATGTGGCCTTACTGGGAAATAGTCTTTATTCATGAAACCACATTAAAATGAGGTCATTACGGTGGGCCTTTGACCAATATGGCAAGTGTCCTTGGAAGAAGAGGACAAAAAGAATGAGATGCCAGGAAAGGTATCCATACACAGAAGACAGCATTGAAAACAGGCAGAGACCAGTTACATAGTCAATCAAACCAAGTGGTGGTCAGAAGCTGCAAAAGCCAAAAAGGACCCACTTCTCTTTAAAGTTTTGGAGGGAACATGGCCCTGCTGACAACTTGACCCCGATCAGACTTGTTTTGCTTGAGACAAGGTCTCTAGGTAGCCCTAGCTAGCCTGGAATTCAACGTGTAGACCAGGCTGGCCTCTGACTCAGAGGATCTCTATGTGCCTCTGCCTCTCAAGTGCTGGGATTAGAGGTAAATGCCACCACACTCTCCTACTACCAACCTCCAGAAAGGCTAA